GTGTGTGTGTGATCTGAGAGCACCGTTTGGTTTTGAGTGCAGGTGAAATGGTTCTGCAGTGATAGCTTGATTTTGATGAAGAGTCAGAGGTTTCAGGAGTATTTGGATTTGCGTTTAATGTTTTGAGAAAATGATTGATGGCTTCAAGAAATGTGTTTTAGCAATTCAGAAAAACTGTAATATAAAGTGGGACCGAATTAGTTGATGTACTTGCAAAGTTTGGAGTTTGAAAGTTACTGATAGTTAGTAGAATGACTAAACTGGACTCAAAATAAAGTGTTACTCATTGCAGAATTAATCACACAGCAGAAGACATTTCAAATATGCATTTGTATCTGACAATCCTCCACAAACAATACACCACACTTTATAAACTTACAATTAACTTCGACTCACCATGGAAAACACGAGAACACATTCACGATGTAGCAGCTCTCTAGTTTCAGGGACAGTCCACCAAAAATGGAAATTCTATCATCATTATTTTATCAAATCTGCTCCTGCTCCTGGAGGCTCCATTCCTGCAGTTTATTCCAGCTGCCTGGAGGTTTGCAGTGATCCTGAAGACTTGGGCAGCTGCTTCAGGTGTGCTAGATATGGACTTAAACGCTACAGGAAACTGACCCCCACATTTGTCCTATGAAAACAGATGAATATTTTATAATAAAACTTGGGGGAAACTTTATTAGAAGTGAAGGGCATGTCCCGGTTTAAAGTCATTCCTTCCACACGCTGTTAGATTTCTTCCTAAACACCGCTGGTTCTGCACCTGTATCTTCATGTAGGTTATGATTTTCCTTTCCAGTTACATTTAGTGCTTTGGATAATCTAAAGTAGTTTGTCTTTTTCTTTCCTAAAATTTATGAATCCAAAATTTACATTTAAAGAAACCTATAGATGCATTTTAAAATGCACTGAATTCATTCAAATCTTCTGAATCTGGAAAAACTATCTAAATGCTGAACCTGTGATTCATAAATTCATTGCACATGTAGCAAAAACAAAAGAAAACTAAGGTAACTGACATGACACCAACATATGGGTGTGATTGTCCCTCACCTGAAGAGCAGCGCATGGCCTTTATTATTGGCCACAGTGTAGAATCCACTCTGTGGGGAGAAATCCAGACACCGGGTTCGAAATATGGTTTTCTTTTGGAATTGTGGAAAATTGGAGAACACTGTGAAACTTGGAAGATGGACCTTAAAAAGAAAAAATGTAATTAAATTAAGTTATCTAAATTATTTTGCAACTAAAAACCCAACAAATGACCAACTACCCCATTATTGTGTATAAAGTAGCAATAACTAAAAACAAGAACGGTATTTGAAATCCAATTTTTGCAGAACACAGAAATATGTACTCTTTCAGTCATCGACAATTCTTTACTATACAGACATTACGAGGTTTGTCGATGTATACATATATACACACACACACTGCTGAGCAATTTATTAGGCGCACCAGTATCAGCCAATCATGTGTCAGCAGTGCAATACTTGATTATGCAGATACTCATGTGATCTCAGTAATGTCAAGTGTCGTATGATAATTTGCACAAACAGCATGAATCCATGGACTCAAACTGCCCCATGTCAAGCGTCCAGACTGCTGCTGGTGGTGTAATGGAGAGAGCGATGCCTTCTTTAGGTCTGTTAAAACCCATCAAGAGTCACTGGAACGCCACAGTACTGTTTCTGAACATGTGCATCCCTTAACGGCCACAACAGGTACATTTCTAATAAAGAGCTGTTTATGCAGATGAGAAACACTTTCATAAGCCAGGTTTTCCAGGCATGTTTTCCCTTCAATTTACAAAATGTGTTAATTATCCACACATTTTCTAAAGAAAAACTGCATATAATAGCATATAACTTAAGCATTATTAAATAACTATTCAATACAATCCAATTAACATCTATTATATTATGATATTTTATATATACACAGCTGAATGAGAGTTACTGCTATGTGAGACAGGAGTTGTGACACACCAGCCGGTTGGCCTCGTCATCCGCTCTGGATCCGATGGACAGGATCTCGGAGGTGCTGTTGAAGCACAGAGAGGTGGCTGCTGTCACCAGGTTCATGACGGCCTTCAGAGGTCTGGGCTCCAGCGTGTGCAGACAGTCCTTCTGGGAGTAGATGTTCACCACACCACTCTGAGACCTGCCAACCGAGCAGCACAGCCTTACAACACTTCTGCATGACACATGCTCATAACCTACATGCTGTTAATCCTTCATGTTAATACTTGCAGACAAGCATTTTTAAACAACAATTATTTTGTTCTTAATTTTTTAAAAAGTAAAATGATTTAAAAAACAAACACTCCATCTGCTGTTTGAAAACACCAATGTATAAAAACAACCAGAAACGCTGTGTATTTGAAATCAAATTCACGTGCTGCTTTCATAAAGTCCATGCAGCCTTTGAGCCACACACAGAGAGCATCAACAGAGACATATTTCATCTTCATTGTCCTGCTTGTTCTGAATCAGATCCAAAGTCTCTAGGGACTCACTACTTGAGCTACTTTCACTGGACACTTCTTTACTCTTACTCAGGCAATTATTAACATTCTTACTTCTTCAGTGATTACTAGGAAGTATTTGCACTTTCACCAGAGTAGGCTACAGTTTTCGGTTATTCCACTAAGGGATGCACCGATGTATCGGCTGATAAAAGCAGTTAATATTGTTTAAAAACAGCCGATGTTCAGGGCTGATTATTTCCTGTCAATCAAAAGCATGTCAGACAGACTTGACCCTATAAAGCACCCGCAGTTCAAGCCAGGGTTGCCAGGTCTGCCGTTTTCCCTTCAAACAACATTATTTATAATGCGCCTCCAATCCAATTATCACAAAGAGCTTGTGCTTCGTTACTTCTGATAAGTCTCAACTTTCAAATCCTGTACATTTTATCACAAAACTCACCTAATAAATGATCACCCACTATTCACACGGCGTGACAGACGGCTTCAGTTCAAGCGGCAGCGCAAGTCTCTTCCAGTTTAATACAAGTTACAGCACAAAATAAGCCTGAATGAGCATCGGAACGTGTTGAAAGATAACCTACTGAAATTAATCCGGTTTCATATAGTCGCTCAATCCGCGCTTTAACCGAAAGAAAGATGTCAAATGAAGCAGCTTGTGAACAGTATGTCACTTAATGTTGCATTACCTCAGGAAAGAGATCTGGTGCTGACAGTTCATTCGTTAGCTATAAAACAACACTAGAGGGAGCTTCATTACTGTTACTTATATTGATCATATTAATACATTTACATTTTACATTTAGTCATTTAGCAGACGCTTTTATCCAAAGCGACTTACAATTGGGGGATACATAAAGCGATTCTTCTTAAAGAGGCAAACAGACACAAGAAGTGGTTGTAATACCAAGTTCTTAGACATTGTTCAAATAAGTACAAGCTAGAAAGAGAAGGAATAAATAAAGAGAGAGAAACTTTTTTTTTTTTATTAATAATCACTAGATACAGGCAGAGGTGTCAGTAAAAGCTTGGCTCTGGCTGATGTTTAATGCATGATAGGACACTGCTATCAGCTTCAGTAAGAGAGAATCACTGAGACGAAGAGTGTGCTGATGTTACTCACCCACAGGCCAGATACAGGCCGTCCCGGGACAGCGCAAGAGACGTTCCTCTGATACAGCCGTCATCCGCAAATTTCTTCAGACATTTACTGCTCTGCACATCCCAGATGAACACCTCACCTTCCTCTGCAACACACACACAGCTCTTTGACTGAATAAAGCCTGGCGCGACGTGAGCCGTCTTCAGAGACTCAGACTGCTCCTGTTGTTTCAATTTTCTTCACATTTTGTTTTGTTGCTGCCTTATGTTAAACTGCTTTAAATTAGTTTTTTCCACAACAATCTACACTCCATACACCATAATGGTCAAGCAAAAAACAGGTTTTTAACATATTTGTTAAAATAAATGTTTTATTTTAATATAAAAAACTAAAATGATTCCATTGCATAAGTATTCACACCCTTATCTGGGACAGTTGAGATTTAGCACTGTAATTAGCTGCTTTACATGCAAGCCAGATGAAAGCCCTTCAGACTGACGAGACGATGACAGGGTCAGGGTTTATTTCATGATAATGACTAGCTGAAGCAGCCTAGCAATAACACTTGCAATAACAATATGATAATATTATCATCAATGTCATGCAGCTTTTGGAACAGCAACCGTAACTTCTGGATGAGCTATTGTGTAACGTGACGTGAGAAGCCGGCATGAGGGACGGTGTTTGGTTTGACTTACGGGAGTTGGCAAAGATCTTGCTGCTGTCTGAGGTGAAAGCTGCAGCGCACACACTGCCATTCATCTTCATGCTTCGGATCACTTCTCGGGTCTAGAAAAGACATTTCATTACAGGCACGGACACAGTCTGATGAGTCTCGCTGATCACCCATACTGCACTGACTGGGATTCAGGGTCGCCCCCTCACAATCACAGACAAATAAAACCACGGCTCGATTCCAGCACAACGAATATACTCAAGAAAATAACATTAGCCTTACGCTGTGCTAGAAACACATACTGAAGGCTTCAGAACTTGTTAAGAACAGGATGAAAGGCCAGCATTAACCAGTTTTAGTCTGTGGAGGAGCCATGTGTCTGCATTTCCTCCTGATGGATCATAATGTTTGGAAAGTTTGAGTTTTCTTTCTGTACTACGTGTCTGTAGCACATTAAGTGACAGGGAGCACAATGTTTCCCTGTAGTGTCATGTATCCAGATTTTTTTAAATGAGAAATTCCAGTACCTACATGCAATAAATGTAATAGTGGCCCAATCTAATATAAAAATCCCTGAAGTGTTTAATTGAGGGCCAAAAACTGATTGGATTTTAAAAAACTGCCATTTATTTCTAAATTATGACTGTTTTTGAGGTAAATATCCTACTAAACGTGTAAGTGCTCCTTAGAAAAAAATTAACTTGTACTAATCCAAACACGGATCTTCTCAAGAGTTTCAGAGAGCAGAGACGGTCACACACGACCATGAGATTCACATCTTTCACTGCATACTGCAGCCATATACAACACAAGCTAGAAAACCACACTCCCTCGCTGCAGGAGAACAGACGAGGGTTGATCTCAAATATCTCACAACGATCGTTTAGCTTCTGTTCACCATATTTGATGAGCTCTATGGAAATAAAGGACTGCATTAAACCTGTTCATCATAAAAAGCAATTATTAGGGACATCACTGATGAGAGCATATTAAAAAGTTTGTAATTTGTTTTGAAGACAAACAAACGTCTTGAGGGTGATTGACCCTTTGGTTGAACTAACCCTTTACCAGCAGATGAATAAGATCTAACAGTGAAAACAGCACATACATGGCTGCAGCTCAAAGCAGGGACTATTCTGAATATCACGAGCAGATGTGATGTGATCTCTGTACTGCACCTTCGTGGTCATGAGGTGGAGATATCCTGAAGAACCAGAGAGGAGAAGATACTTCCCATCTGGAGAAACCTGAAAGTCTGACACCCTCTGCTCATTCAGACCTGGCAAAAACAGTGTAAGTGAGCTTTATCACTTCCGTCAACACACTGTATAATTGATAATTCAACAGAAAGAAAATAGCAAATGCAGATGCACGCGAGTGAGCTGCTCCAGATCTCACCTCTGACACTCAATACAGGGATAACCTTGCCTTCCATCATGTCATAGATGTAGAAGAGCTTGTTCCTCATTCCAGTCGCCACTATATGCTCCCCATCGGCACTGAACGAAGCCTTATTCACGGGATAATTCTCCAGATGGATGGTCTGGATCTTTGGGTTGCTCTTGCCATCAACCTGTTGAGAAGAATGAATAAGGGTTATTTATGTAGTGAAGGTTGTTTGATTAGTTTTGACATTCATTTGCAGTGTGTTTGTCTCCTCCATCTGTAATTGACTCACAGGGCCTCAGCAATTCATACAGATTAAATATTCAGATTGTCTTTATCAGCATTTCAATCCATCTTGTAGATGTGCTGGGAACTAAGGATCACTTAAATTGGGAACTAAACGTCTTTTCCAACTTCAGAACTATATTCATTCACAAAGAACTGTTTATTACACAGAATCTGTGGCAATATCAAGAACCATAACTATGTCAGCATCACTTGGCCATTGAGTGTAGTTCGGGCTCCTCCTCAATGCATCTTATACATGCTGTCATATGTTTTGCACACATCCAGTCTGTTTTTCTTCATTAGTAACATGCAATTATATAGGAGTTGTTTAACTTTACCTTTAGCTCCTTGCATTCTTATGTAGACAACAGGTTAAGTAAAAATATGAATATGGGGTGCCACAGGGCTCAATTCTTGCCCCAGTTTTATTTTCTATATTTATGCTACCAATGGGTGCCATCTTTCAGATTATTCACTTGTTTGTTCTATGTTGTTTAGATTACTGTAATTCACTATGCTATGGTATAAGTCAGTCCTCTATAATGCATTTACAGATGGTCCAAAATGATGCTGCAAGGTTGCTGACAGGCAGACGGAGGTTCGATCATGTCTCGCCCGTTCTTGTTTCACTAAACTGGTTACCAGTCATTTTGGCATTGATTTGGCAATTCAGTATATAATGTAGTAATGCGAGTCCGCTCTACTCCTTATTTTTTATTCATTATAGCATATTTCCTATCCCCATGCATGCTCGTGCATAATTGATATTGTAAAATACCTAAAAAGCTTTTTAACTGTTGTGAGATTAGATTTTTTAATCACAATCCTAAATAGTATTTTCTTGATATTCTTCAAGGATGTTAACGATATAGGCCTATGTTAAACGGCTATTTACGTGATATTTCCATCTGCTGTTGAAAATTACCTCCTCTAATTTAATAAATAGCTTAAAATTCCAACTCTTCTAGCCCACACCATCTCAAATAAAACAAGCTCATCATACAAGCAGCTGCTAACAGTATACATGTGCGCCATTCTGATGAACACGCATGTTAACAGGTCTTTAAGCTGGGATAGGAAAGAAACGACACAGAGCTCGACTGTGAGCGCTTCACCTGAAAGAGTGATACGGAGTGATCCAGCCCTGCGGTCATCACGATCTGAGCAGACGGGTGAAACTGCACGGAGCTCAGCTGATCACCGCCGGGACACTCACTGTTCGCATTCAAGCACTTCTTTATCTGCCAAACAAAGACCAAGAGCTGCTTACACAACAACTCAACACTTTAATCACACCTAATCGTTTTGCCCATTACCTATATAAAGACAGAAAAGACCATTAATAATGACAACAATAATAGTAGTAATGATTATTATTATTATTTTACAGAGCAACAGTAAACTGCTGGCAAACCTCCAAGCTGCTGTTTTGTTGACGACAAATGGCATTTTTGTAAACTGTTGCCATCACAATGACAGCATGTCTTTTCATGGCTGAACTGGTAACAGGTCAAGCGGCAGACGTGGACTGAAACACTACCTTGATGATTCCCTTCGGCAGGCTGTCAGACGAGCCGATGAAGTTACCAGTCCTGCGCAACAGTTCTTCACTTTCATCCTCATCTTCAGTCTCAGGCTCTGCTGTGCAGAGAGGAAAAAACATTTATGATGATCAGTCTGCTGAACACTCACCAGCTTCAGTTAACTAGGACATCCCTCAATAAATCAGTTATCCAGTAATCACCTTTCTTCTGACTCCTCTTTGCGGTCACTTCTGCCCAGCTGGGTGTGCCGCCCATGGCTTTCTGAAACCTGTCGAACAAATCAGACGCATTTTCCTTCCGACTGTTGTTTTCTGTGAAACGAAACGCTTTATTTCGCTATAACTTACTGCTCCTTTAAGCGCTGCTGCAGCCTCGGTTTTGTCATTTTATTCTCTGCTTCACTCTTTTTAAAGTCTCTGCGAAACCGATGCGTCATGTCAACCCTTGAAAAAAATAAAAATTAGAGAAATGAATCACCTGAAAATGAAACAAGCATACTGACAGGAAGGCTGTGAGATCGTCTAAAAGCAGTTAGCCAGCAAATCTAATCAAGTGATGCTTCAGTTCAGGGCTCTCCATCCCGCTGTCCTGCAGAGTTCAGCTCTAACCCTAATCACACACACCTGAAGCAGCTACTCAAGCTCTTACGAGGCACACTAGACACTTGCAGGTGTGTTGATTTGGAGCTGAACTCCAGGAGCGAGTTTGGACACCCCTGCTTTAGTTTCCAGTGAGCTCCACAGCAGCATGAGAGCAGGAGTATGCCTCACTCTTCATCCAGCTCATCGTCCTCATCCTCCCACACTGCGCTCCTGACGGCGGGCCGCTCGGAGCCGCAGTCCTCGGAGCCGACGCTGTGTGTGTCGTCATCCTCCAGTAGCACGCTGCTGTCCTGCTGAAACACACACACATTCACATCACACTCAGCCGAATGTGTGAAGAGAAAGCCTTCTAACGCTGCCGTCACCGCTCTCAATCATTCTTTTACATAGCTTTAGGTAACACTTTAGTTTAGGGCCCAATTCATACACTTAAAAGGTCAGAAAAACTACCATTTAACACAGGTTAAAACAAAAATGTCCCTGCAAATCACTTTCAGGAGTCAAATATCGCCTGGTAATGCGAAGGTCAATGTTTTGTCATTGATCAGCAGGTGCTCCAAAATTTTTAAATGTAACTAGTTATTTATTAGCATGCATATTACCAGCATATTGGCTGTTCATTAGTACTTATAAAGCACATATTAATGCCTTATTCGGCATGAGCATATTTTAGATCCCTTAAAGCAGGGGTGCCCAAACTCGGTCCTGGAGGGCCGGTGTCCCGCAGAGTTCAGCTCCAACCCCAATTACACACAGCTGAAGCAGCTGATCAAGCTCTTATAGGCACACTAGACACTTCCCAGCAGGTGTGTTGAGGCACGCTGGAGCTAAACTCTGCAGGACACCGGTGTTGTGCCGAATTCTGCACCCCTGCCAGATTTCTGCACCCCCTCGTTGACGTCGCTACCTGATTGCCTAATCCTAACCCCTCCCCTACTCCTAAACCTACCAATACTAACGTTAGGGGGTGCATAATCTGGCAGGGTGCAAATTTCGGCACTACACCGGCCCTCCAGGACCGAGTTTGGGCACCTCTGCCTTAAAGGGATAGCTCGCCCAAAACTGTATATTCTGTCATGAAGCCCCCGCACCCGCACCTGCGCCAGCCGCTCGCTCAGCCGCTCCTCCGCGCCGAACACCAGCTCCTCCAGCAGCCTGACGGACGCGTCCTCCCCGCCGAGCGTCGCGCACAGCGCCGAGTGCTTCTTCTGCTTCAGACGCTCCTCCGCCGCGCCCGCGTCCTCGCTCGGAGGCCTTTTCGCGCTCTTTCTTTGCTTTCCAGCGGCAGATTCAGACGAATCCATTATGAACACAGGTCAAATAAATAGCGCTACTGTCTCTGTTAGTGCTGCAGATTTGGCTCTAAGCTACAACACGAGTTCACGGTAAACTCTCCGCGTGACATGTGCGCGGAACTTCTTCTTCTTCTTCTTCTTCTTTCAGGTTTAATGGCGCATTACCGCCACCTACTAGACTGGAGTGTGCGCATTAGACTGACATCAGAGGAGTGGAGAGGAAGAGAAAAAAACAATTATTTAATTCCCTATTAAATTCTTTCACTTAACTCAGTGTTTTTCAAAAATACCATTAATAAATTGCGTATTCTCCCAGATGTTTTCCCTAATAAATGCTCAAGTGTCATGCTTTGTTCATCCACTTGTGCCTATAATTCTGCCCTTTCTTCTTCATATTGTTTGCAGTCTAACAGTATATGCTTCACTGTCTCTTGTACATTACAATAATTGCATAATCCAGTGGGATGTTGTCTTTAAAGCAGTGTGGCCCATTCTAAGACGTGAGACTAGCATCTCCTCCCGTGGGCTTCTGCTCGTCCTCATGCTTGTGACTACTTGATGTTGTGTACTGTATACATGACGTCCTGTATCCGCTGTGTTCCAATATTCCTGCCCTATTTTAAGTGAATGTTGCTTTATGATGGTTGCATAATCCAGTGGGATGTTGTCTTTAAAGCAGTGTGGCCCATGCTAAGACGTGAGACTAGCATCTCCTCCTGTGGGCCTCTGCTCGTCCTCATGCTTGTGACTTCTTGATGTTGTGTACTGTATACATGACGTCCTGTATCCGCTGTGTTCCAATATTCCTGCCATATTTTAAGTGAATGTTGCTTTATGATGGTTTTGACCTCTGCTCTACTTATTGGTACGTGTACATCTACTGTTTCATGCTTTGTTTTTTTTTTGCTAGCATATCCACAACTTCATGTCCTTCCACCCCTACATGTGCAGGAACCCAAAGGAAGGAGACAGCCATTCTCTTATTATGAAGTGTGAGAAGCAAGTGGAGTATTTGATAAATGAGGTCTTGTCTACATGACGCTCTCCCAGATTGAATGCTTAATAATGCTGATAAACTGTCCGAGCCAACCAAATAATTTACCTTTAATTCCTAATTTGTCAAGTTTAATAAGAAGTCCATTCTTCCACAGCATATTATATGCTTTTTCAACGTCAAAGAACACAGGAATTACACTTTCCTTATTAGTTTGTGCTTTCCTAACTTCTGCTTCTAAGCACAAAATGCATTTAAGATAGCCCTTTTTAATTCAAACATAGTAAAAGTCAGGTCCATATCTCCTCCTGATGCAGATCTACTTTCTCTTATTCCAGGGTATTCCAACAGTGTCTGATTCCTATGCTGCTTATCTATTGTGGATACATTTCCAGAACTGTGGATTTTCACAAAGGTTTCTACCAAAAGCTCTGCTTTTTCTGCATTACTAACTGCATTCTTATTATTGCTACATAATACTGGCTGAGTTTCACTTCCAATTGTATTGCAATACTGTCTCCAATACATGCGTTTGACTGACCTAATCACTTTCCTAACTACTGCTTGTGCCCTTTTGTAGCTAATTAAAGTTTCTAGTGTGTGATGAGCTTTAAGCTGTCTAAATGCTTTATTTCTTCTTTTAACTGCTATTCTACAGCTCTCATCCCACCACGGCACGCTTTTCCCCCATTTATTTCCTGTACTTTTAGGAATTGTTTCTTCTGCTGCTTGTATAATGTTTGCGACTACTACACTATTCATTTCCTCCACATCTGTTATATCTCTACTCAGTATTTCCACACACTTAGTCTCACTAATTTCTTGAAATGTCTGCCAGTCAGCTTAATCTAACTTCCACCTTGGTATTTTCACTTCCCCATCCTGGTGTAACTCTATGCCAATCCTAGTTATTATCGGATAGTGATCACTACCCACTGTCGACCTGCCAATTACTTCCCATGCCCCCATGCTCTCAATTTCAATTGACACTAGTGTTAGATCAATAGTATTACTTGAACTATTATACCGCGTGCCCTTTCCATCTTTCCATCACACCAACTCCTTATCATCTATAAATTTCTCTATTGCTAATCCATTTATATCTGTGTTCTTACTTCCCCATAATGTACTGTGTGCATATACCACTATTTTGCCCTGCATTGATCCGCAAACTAATTCCAACATATCAGTACTTAATCTATTGCAAGGGTTGTAAAAATTGGTTATTTTTATACTGTTTCCCCCTGATCATACTTCAGTTACAACAGATTCATGTTCTTTCCCTTCACTAATAAGTTTATATCTTACCCCACTTTTAACAAAAGTTGCTACACCTCCACCTCCACCTTTTCCTGTTTCTCTATCTCTCCTAATTGAAGTATATCCATACAATACAAAGTCCAACTGTGGTTTTAACCATGTTTCTTGCACACATATTACATGAGGTCTATCTGCTAAATCTGAGACAAAACTCTTGAATTCCTGTCCATTTGCTATAAGGCTCCTGGAGTTCCATTGCAATATAGCTAATATCATAAAGAGCCACCAACCCATGTCTGCGAGCTTGTGCTTCCTGCCACTATCATTTCTTCCACTACCTCACAGCTAAGCCCTTTTATTCCTAAATACTTTTCCGCTGATTTAACTATTATTTTGATCTTTTCTGTCTTCCTGTCTGTCTGTGCCGAGCAGTTTATCACCTCAACCATAAACAACACAAATTCATTTTTGCCCATAACTAACAAATCCTTCTTTGTCTAAATTTTCTCACACTTCCTACAAGACCTACTTTTATTTTCTTTGAGTTCTGGTTTATAGGCTTCCAGGTCCATATCTCCTCCTGATGCAGATCTACTTTCTCTTATTCCAGGGTATTCCAACAGTGTCTGATTCCTATGCTGCTTATCTATTGTGGATAAATTTCCAGAACTGTGGATTTTCACAAAGGTTTCTAACAAAAGCTCTGCTTTTTCTGCATTACTAACTGCATTCTTATTATTGCTACATAATACCGGCATTTCCAGCTTTCTACCTAATCCACTCATTCTCCTGATTGTTCCCCATATGTCTGACAACTGAGTTTCACTTCCAATTGTATTGCAATACTGTCTCCAATACATGTGTTTGACTGACCTAATCACTTTCCTAACTACTGCTTGTGCCCTTTTGTAGCCAATTAAAGTTTCTAGTGTGTGATGAGCTTTAAGCTGTCTAAATGCTTTATTTCTTCTTTTAACTGCTATTCTACAGCTCTCATCCCACCACGGCACGTGTTTTCCCCGTTTATTTCCTGTACTTTTAGGAATTGTTTCTTCTGCTGCTTGTATAATGTTTGTGACTACTACACTATTCATTTCCTCCACATCGGTTATATCTCTACTCAGTATTTCCACACACTTAGTCTCACTAATTTCTTGAAATGTCTGCCAGTCAGCTTAATCTAACTTCCACCTTGGTATTTTCACTTCCCCATCCTGGTGTAACTCTATGCCAATCCTAGTTATTATCGGATAGTGATCACTACCCACTGTCGACCTACCAATTACTTCCCATGCTCTTATTCCTGCAATTTCAATTGACACTAGTGTTAGATCAATAGTATTACTTGAACTATTATACCGCGTGCCCTTTCCATCATTAATACACACCAACTCCTTATCATCTATAAATTTCTCTATTGCTAATCCATTTATATCTGTGTTCTTACTTCCCCATAATGTACTGTGTGCATATACCACTATTTTGCCCTGCATTGATCCGCAACCAGTTACAGCATCTCAGCTTTACTCCTTCTCCACATTCCCCATACTCATGCTCGCCTGAACACCTACCACATCTAGATATTTTAATCAAATTCGCAAATTCTATGGGATTACAATTCTGCCACAATTCTGCGCGCGAAAGATCATATTTTGTTTTGTGGAGAAAATGTTTGTCTCGCAAAGAAGAAAGTATTTAAAATAAGTTTTTGGATGTGTGCAGACCTTCTCTTTTACGCGTGCAACGTTTCACTAGCTTGCTCACCTGATGCCCTCCCTAAGTGCTCGCTAAATGCCAACAGCTCTCTGCTCAGCACAACCCAGCCTTACAATGTGCCATAATTCCAGCCAATCAGAGACCGAGGCTGCTAAATTCTGATTGGCTGCCTTGACAACCAATCACAACTTTCCTTGCATTACCTCGACAGCAGAAGAGGAAAAATACCAGTGGTGCTCGCTGCAGAGCCAAATGGGAGGGGCTAGACCTCCAGCTCCTCCTCGCTGGATCTAGTGGGCGGGGCTTGAAGCGCTATCACGCGCCACCATGTGGCTGTTAATGTTATTGCCAGTTCAACCGTAATGGAAGTAAATGCTTGTTTTGATGCGCAAGATGCTGGCATAGATAATGGTGGCTTATTTTACTGTGACAAACGGCATTACGTAAATACTTTTTTTAAATAATGCTTTATTGTCAACAAATAGCATGCACAATTCCATATCCCACTGTATTACGGAAATACTTGATAAGAACATTACTCACACTATATGTGTGTTTCTAACACCTTTTTAAACTTTGTGTCTATGTAAAATTGTCATATTATTTTCTCAGAATAGTTTCCTCACTTTTAAAGTTGCTTTGGATAAAAGCGTATGATATGATTATGTAAATTACTCGACTTAGCAGACAATGTGAAAGCTTACCATCTGTGCACCCCTCTTTAATTTTTGGCCACCGCATTGACGTGTGGGTTATTTATGAACTAAACTAAATCATCTGATTAATTGTAATAACTAATAATAAATAATAAAGTTAGACTAATTCATGTAATCTGCCCAATCCCACTGTATTATGGAAATACTTGATAAGAACATTACTCACACTATATATGTGTGTGTTTCTAACACCTTTTTAAACTTTGTGTCTATGTAAAATTGTCATATTATTTTCTCAGAATAGTTTCCTCACTTTTGAAGTTGCTTTGGATAAAAGCGTATGATATGATTATGTAAATTACTCGACTTAGCAGACAATGTGAAAGCTTACCATCTGTGCACCCCTCTTTAATTTTTGGCCACCGCATTGACGTGTGGGTTATTTATGAACTAAACTAAATCATCTGATTAATTGTAATAACTAATAATAAATAATAAAGTTAGACTAATTCATGTAATCTGCCCATTTTTG